ATTATTGTTATTATTATTATTATTATTATTATTATTATTAACCAAGCAGTCTGTTAGGTATTGGGGATATAGCGGTAATAGTAAATAAAAGACATTGTTTCTGCCATCATGGAAAAAAAATCAGTAATCCATAATTTAGCATAAATATAATCAAATTTACATACTTTCAGTCAGTTTTAGCTACCTATATCTGAGTGTGTATGTTTAATTTCATTATAAAAGACTATTTTTGAACAGATCTCAATTGATCTTTTATTGTTGAGACCAGAGACACGTAAATTAATCCTTCCCCCTTCCTCCTAAGTAACATTTGTGGGGTATTATATGCTAAGCAACACTCAATATGTTAGTTTATGTTAGCTTTTTACAATCTTCCCTATATTCCTATAAGCAAGTGTTATGCTCATTTACAGATGAGGAAACAGATGAGGCATTGAGTGGTTCAGTGACTTGTCCAAGGCTACAAAACCAGGCATTCAGACCACAGGTCGTGTATACAAAGGAGAAAAGAAAGTAATCATAGATAGTTGGTACAATCAGTTGAATTAATTCAGAGCACATCATGAAACAGGATTATAATATTTGATGTTTTAAGAGCCAACATTTGAGGTAATAACTCAAATCTCAAAAAATAAGGATAGTAAATTAAAATATAGTCTAAATGTATAATAAAATACTATATAGCCATTAGGAGTAATTAAGTAGTTATATGTTTCATGACATGGAAAGAAAGTATATGACTTATTGAAAGAAGAAAAAAAACAGATTACAGAACAAGTAGAGTGTTAACTCATTTGTGTAAAATTGAATGTATGTGTGTGGATACAGAAAGAAGTACCTGGAAATATGTTCACTACTAATATTATTTAGGGATGTTGAGATTTCATCTAAGCTTTACTTTGTACCTTTGAGTAATATATGAACTTATTTTTACTGTAATTATATATCAGTTTTATACAAATAAAGCTATATAATAAATAATGTAGAAAAGTATAATGGAAAGTGGACTCAGAGTGTTGCTGTCTAGGTCTTGGTGCTAGCTTTGGTATGACCTTGCTAGTCTTATTTTTGAAAGATTATATTTCATTAATTCAGAAGGACTTAGTTACCCATGGCACTGGATCACCAGCCTGGACTGACCTAGAAAACTGGGACAAGAACCAAAGACTTAATCTCAAGAGCTCCTCTTCCTCATTTCTTTTTCCTTTCCTTTTCTTTAACCTGCTATGCTGACAGTGAATCTTGGCTACACAGATAAGCAGAATTTAACCACTGTAGCCAAAAGAAAAGATTGGCAAAAGACAGGATTGTGGTCATTGTGGTTAGAACCCCACATCTGGTATCCTCGTGGTAGATGCATAGTTGGAGAGTAAGTTTGTAGGACAGGATGAGGAAGAAGTGCATAATGAGGCCTGGCATATCCACACACACAGGACCAACTCTGGCTAGAAATCTTTATATAGTGAAGATAATAAAGTGAATGCACAAGAAAATACCAGTTAGATCCAGGAAGTTCTCAGTACCCAGAGATATGTCAGAAAGAGCTATTAGAGAATTATAACCAAATGTGCTTTTAAAAATCCTCACCTTGGGATATTTTTTCATTGATTTTTAGAGAGAGTGAAAGGGATGGGGAGAGACACACACGGAGAGAAACATTGATTAGTTGCCTCCCACTCACATCCCAACCAGAGCCTACAACCAAGGTAGGTAGGGTTAAGCAGAATTTAACCAGAATCGAACCCAGGACCCTTCAGTCTGCAGGCCAATGCTCTATCTACTGAGCCAAACTGACTTGGGCCCAAATGTACTTTTTAAAAGTGGTCTTTAGGATTCAGGAGTGTTACCCAATTTTGCTATCATATTTTTAAAAAAAGCTTCAATCTTCATGTTATTCACTTATTAATTTATTTAGTCTCTTTAAACACTTATGGGACACCTACTGTGCTAATATGCAACAATTAATAAGCTGTAGACCTAGGAGAGGTGGTGGTACAATAAGGAAGACCTGTATGTGTACAGATATTATAGCACCATGTGGTACATGCAAAGATGGAGAAGAAAGAATACTGTAGTAGCCCACAAGAGAGAAAGCCTCCACACCTCAAAACTCTAGCAATAGCAAGAGCAGAAAACAAAGTCCTTTGTCTTACTAAAGAGTAAACAATTGTCTTACCATAGAGTAAACAATTGTAGGAAGATTTACACATCCCTGTAGGAGAGGAGCTTCCCATGCATTTCTGTTTAATAGAAGGGGTTTTATAACCTACTAGAGGCCCAGTGCACAAAATTTGTGCACATGGGGCGGGTGTCCCTCAGCCCAGCCTGCACCCTCTCCAATCTGGCACCCCTCAGGGGATGTCCGACTGCCGGACATCCCCTGGCAGTTGGACATCCCTCTCACAATCCAGGACCACTGGCTCCTAACCGCTCACCTGCCTGCCTGATCGCCCCTAACCACTCCCCTGCTAGCCTGATGGCCCCCAACTGCCCTCCCCTGCCAGCAGCCTGGTTGACAACTGCCCTCCCTGCCGGCTGATCACCCACAACTGCCCTCCCCTGCCATGACCTGCCTCCTCCACTGAGACCTACTTCCTCCACACAAGGTGGAGGAGACACTGGGACCAGCGTCCTCCACACCTCGCAGAGTCGTGGGACCCCCAGGCCTCACTGCGCGGAGCAGCTGCCAAGCCCCACCTCTGCTGTGTGTGCAGCCATTTTGTGATGATGTGAGGGCGTGACACCACCTAGGCTATTATTAGTATAGATCATTGGACTTACTCAGTTGTAGAAGGTCTAACTGATTACCCACTACCTCAAAATCCCAGACAATTTCCTAAATCCAGGGTAAAGACCCATAGTTAAAGGTAAAAGAAACCTCAATTCTCCTGAAATACACATGCACAGTGGGACCTGCAAGAAAAATGCTCTCTGGCCACTGTGGTTTATGTTCCCACCTGTATTAGAGTCCTAAGGCTGCATAATAAATCACCACAAACTTGGTTGCTTAAAACAACAGAAATTTATTATTTCACAGTTCTGGAGGCCAGATGTCTGAAATTAAGATGTCAGCAGGGCCACAATCCCTCCGTTCCTTGTCTCTTCCAGTTTCTGGTGGTGCCAGGCGTTCCTTGGCTTGTAGTCACTACATTCCAATCTCTGTGGTCACATTGCCTCATCCTCTTCTGTGTGTGTTTCTCCTCTGTTTGTCTCTTGTTAGGACATTTGTCATTAGATTTAAGACTTACTCAGTTGTAGAAGGTCTATCTGATTACCCACTTCCTCAAAATCCCACATATCCAGGGCAATCTTCTCATCTCAAGATCCTTAATTTAATTACATTTCTGAAGACCCTTTTCCTAAATAAGGTAACATCTACAAATTCCAGGGATCAGAATTTTATATCCTAATACCAACTTACTACACCACCTGAAGTGTACCCCCTTTCAAACTTGAAATTATCCTCCAATTGAGAGATGATAAAATAACTTGGTAGAATTGCAAGCTCTCTCAGTGAAAAGAAAAGATGCTCTGTGGAAAGGTCAGGACAGACCTCATGCTTTGGTATAATCTGACAGTAATTGCAAAAATTGGGAAACCATGAGAGGTTTTGAAGGTATGGAGACTTGAAAAGCTCAGCAAGAATCTTAGAGACAGATACATTCCTGAGAAGGCTCCTGGGATTTCATGGGTAGCTGACAACTTGTTTCATGGAATGCAACTTGTTTCTGATAGAGCTGTGATACCATATGAGTTTATTTTTCACTGTAGGCAGCAAATGATAAGTTTATTAGATCCTGTCACTAATTCCTAAGTGAGTGGTTTGACAAACATCCTATATCGGTTATACCTTTTCATACACTATCAGTGATGGCGAACCTTTTGAGCTCAGCGTGTCAGCATTTTGAAAAAACCTAACTTAACTCTGGTGCCTTATCACATATAGAAATTTTTTGATATTTGTAACCATAGTAAAACAAAGATTTATATTTTTGGTATTTATTTTATATATTTAAATGCCATTTAACAAAGAAAAATCAACCAAAAAAATGAGTTCACGTGTCACCTCTGACACGCGTGTCATAGGTTCGCCATCACTATAATAGTGGAAAGCTAAGTTGAGAAACATTTTTATAGAAACCAGAGTTCAGTTGATACCTTCAAGCACATCCTCATAGAGCTCTCAGGTAACCATATATGCAACCAGTATTCACTGTTTTCACTTAACATCTTTGTTATTCACTGACAAACTTCACCAAGTGTATGATATTCTAAAGCCAATAATATAATTTTTAAAATGTAGTAACTGAGGAATGTTATACACTGTTTCTCATTGCTTTCTCTGGAAACTAATTATGAATTAGCAGCATCTCATAGTATTAGGTCACTGGCTATGCTCAGTCATAAATAGACTTTAAATTAGCTCAAGCATAGGATATTAAATCACATCAAAGACTTACTTTAATATGGCGTTAACAATTAAAGTCACAGCTGAATCTAGTTTGACTGTTGTTTAAGGCACCCAGTGGTAGTGGCAATAGACTGTGGAGTCCCTAAGATTTTTAGGCCACGTTCTTTGCTTGAATGACCCTCCACATTTGCTAAGATAAAACTACAGTACTTCATTTAATTTTTCTAGAATAGATAATGCTTTGATCTGCTGGGAACCCAGTTAGTTACATTTAATCTGTTACTTTAAAAAAAATTTTTTTTAAAACCACCTTTCTCCAAAGAGATTTTGAAATGATTTATAGTATTAAAACATGTTTAAGAAACAGAATCTGATCTATTTTAACAAAAAAGTAAAAACAAACAAGGACTTAGAAATATAAGAAGAGCTGGGATTATACTATTATTTTAAGAGCTGTGTATTTAGTTTTGAGCTTCTTGACAAAAGGAGCCCTGTCACATTGTGATAATGGTATGAGGTAGCTACTGCTTTTGGCCAGCTTCTCTTCTCTTAGAAGACCCTGCCCTTTGGCCACAAATGACCTAGTTTGGCTCCTCACAATGCCCCATGTCTCTAATAACAACGATAAGGTCAAGAAATGAGACTGTAACCCAAGTAAGGCAAATCAGAGCTCATGCTTGGCATTGTTTACTTTGACACTGGAAAAGGACAGCTGGTTTTTTGTTTTTATTTTCCATTGAGATATTCAATTGGTGCTTCAGAAGCAGAATCCAGACACTTGGGGGCAACTGTTTTCTTTAGGAGGGTCACATATGAACAGACAAAGACAGACCAAGATTTAAAAGACAGAGAGAAAGGAGAGCGGGAACGGTATAGAGACAGAAGCGGTGAGGAAGCGTGAGAAGGTACTAGCTGGGAAGCCCCGCATTTCACTTCCTTGAGACAGATTCTTGGAGCCAGTCTGCCAGTTCTGTGAGCTGCCTCAGTGACTTCAGCTTGGTGAAACCAATAAATCCCACCTCCTTTTTAAAATATAACGGTCCATTTTTATTTAATTAGCATATGATTTCAATCATTATATCTTAATACATTTCTCTGACAGAGCATTCCTCCCTTTTTCTTCTTTTTTAAAAATTTTATCTTTATTGTGGAAACTATTACAGATGTCCCCTTCCTCCCCTCCTTTTGTGCTAAAGTTAGCCCATATTTGACATAAATTACTTACAAACGAAAAGGCCCCAATTGATGTCATTGTATGGTTCTCATTTCTAACGGAGAATTTGTTCCATTTGAGGAGGCATTCCCTCCTGGCATTGAGTGCTAGGAGATACTGAAGTATTTTTTCTAGGGGACCCTCACTGGAGGAGGGGACTTGAAGGAAACACTGCACAAATTGTCCCACTGTAATTTTGCAACTGTAAAAAGGTTATTAGTTTCAATAAGATGTGAAAGTTTCTTTTTATATTTCTTGCAAAACAATAGTTGGACTTCTTTAGTGTTTTTTCAAAGTTTTTTTTTTCCTTTTTTTCTTTTCAGTAAGGATCTCCAAAGTGAAGGTATATCAGATAAGACTTAAAAGGCAAAAAACAAAAACCTCAAAAAGCTGTCTTGCTTCATGAAGAGCCATTTTAAAACAGTCATCAAATTTAGAAAATTATACATGGATCTGTTTTAAACATCCGATCTCAAGTGAGATATGTTTGTTGTTCACTTGGAGGCCCTAGATGTGGGAGAAGCATTGCTGCTGTTCTGCCATGAAGAGATCACAGTCAGACTCCATCTTTGCCTTTAAGTTGCCATCCTATGTTACTAAGGAACTGCTTCAGAGGAGAGTCTTCACAGAGAGCTTTATTTATTTTTTTCCTTGAAAATCGTGTGAATTCACGCAAGCTCTCACACATATTTATTTAGTTAATGTTCTGTTTTTCCCCACCATAAACTATAGACAGTTTGGGGCCTAAAATACCTGATGTGATCCCTGAGAAATATCAGACTCTGAATAGAACTACACCTAAGAGACACAACAAGATAAGAGCTCAGAAAAGTTCCTCCAAAAGGTATTTCTTGCATCACTCAACGCCACAGTGATTCATGTTAAAATGTCACAGAAGCCTGAAGACCCACAGCAGAAAAATTATATGTAAAAAGTTATTTCCAAATGAATTGCTTTAGAAAATGCTGTCATTTGAATAGGGCTTAGGAAATTTCTAAAATTCTCTTGTATGCTCAGAATGTAGGATTCTCTTAGGTAATTGTGTTGGTTATATATGTGAATTTTGGCTATAGAATAATGAGGAATATTTTATAATAAATGACTAATAAACTAAATCTTATTAACTTATACAGATGTATCTAGTCAAGTATATCAATGTTGAGTGGTGTTCTTATGAATATTCATAAAGTAGATTATTTTCAAATAGATATTATTAGTTCATAAATTTTCAAATTATCACAAGTCACAATTTTATTGCATACATG